CTAGATAAAAGTAAGACGTATTTATAGTTGTTTCAATTATTATATTGATTTAATTTTTCTTCTCAATCACTGGTTTAATTTTGGAAATTATTTGCATTTCTTTTAAATACCTAACGGTTATAATTTGTTCTCCAAAACTATATACAATTATGGACCATTTTTTTTTTTATTTCATTTCAGGGCCACTAAAATCTTAATCTAGGATTGGGTGTTATCTTACGTAACTTAAAAAAAAAAAAAAAAATAGTATAGGTCGATTATTTTTTTTTTTTAATTATTATTATTTATAAAGTTTTCCTGACAAAGTCATCTAAACTTAGGTGGGTTGATTGTAATTAGTACAGTATTAGTAATTCAACAAATAGATATAATATAGGTAATAGAAAATTATACATATCAAATAATATTTTAAAAACGCAATAATAATAAATTATTGATAAAGACTTCATCGTTAACTAAATACAGAGTATTCAATACATAAATGACATAACAAACAAAATTTCATATTAATATCTGTTGAAAAATCAGATAAAATAAGCTGTAACCTTATATGGTAAGAAATAATTATGATATTAATTTTATCAATTAAATATTGAATATGTAATATTCAGTCACTATATTTACTTATATAATCATCAGCTAAAAGTAAATATACCTATATATTGTAATAATATGCTAACTGTTTTACGCATACATATAGTAGATAATATTAGGATGTTCTAATTATAAAATCAATATTGGATTCCGATTTTCGTATATCATATTTTTTTTTTATATCACAAAATACATAATTATAATATTATACTAATATATGATATATCATGGGATTATATTATTTGAATGTTTAATTGTTAACAAAAACAAAACAAATATCATATTATTTAAACACTAGGTATATATTTGGTAATATCCAAAACAATTTCTTTTTATAAATGACCTACTAAATATATTTGATTATTTTTATAAAAGTATTTAACGCTAATGGCACCTAGTCACCGAAGACGAATTTTTTAATTCATGATTGATAAAAAAAAAAAAAAAAAAAAACAAACAAAACGTAAATATTATAAAATAGATGCAACAAAGCTCATGAATATTTATTATATACATATAAAGTAGTAATAGGAAGAGAATAAGTGGACGATAATTCACAGACTCTGAAATCCGGTTATAAAATATACGTATCAMAAGTATTTTGTTGGTTAAACGTAGACATATTTTGAGTAAAAGTTTTTGAATTGTTCAGAAACCACATTTGAAATACATTTTTAGTAATAATATTATGTCGTATTAAATATTATTCATAGTAATTTTATTTTATATTATACAAAAATTAATTAATTTAAACATTGTTAAAAGCCGCGTGACATTTATTAGTAAAAAAAAATAAAAAATTTGACTAATTGTGAATGGAAGTGCAATAATATAAAAGCTTAGAGAAATATAAGTGTTTAACCATCAGTTAATTAATGTACATTATTGACGATAACAATTATTTACTTATTAATTTATTTTGTGATCAATTAATACAATTTATGCGTAATAACCATTAATATAAGAGCAATTACAATATAATGTGACAGTGAAGGTGATGAAAATAAAAAAATATAAAAAAAAATATAATGTTATGTAACAGGCAACCTATACAGTATAAAAATACGAATGTAAGAACGAGCTGCTGTTATTTATCTACTCGTATTTAACGTAAGTGTACATATAAATTATACATAGGAAATATTATAAATACAAATAAAGTAGTATAGGTACAATAGGAATGAGGAACACTTTATTATTGAACTAGTTGAAACTATTATTTTTCGATAGGACTGTACTAGTTTATTTTATAACATAATATGTCCCCGTCCCATTTTAATACATACCTACGCGTTAGCCAATATTCGTATAATATATTTAACTCTGTGAGAGACGGGGCAAGAAAAATATAATTACCAGATTTCCGGAGTAGCTACAATCGAAAAAAAAACGGACAAAAATTAATAACCACTACCAAATCTCTTTCGTGTGTTCCAGAAACATTATCTCAATTTACTCACGTTTATGTAGTTGCGTTCTGCGGAAAGTTGACCTTGTACAGAGTAGATAATCATTATTATGACACTGAATTTTTAACACTATCGTTATTAAAACGTGTTAGAACATCATGAATTATAATATAACATGTATAAATGTATAATTATACATTATATATGCCTTATACGAGTATAGCATAATATTATACTATGTTTTCGGAAAATAAAACGCCCCGAAAGATTAAGGATTCTTATCGAAAAAACTAATATTCGCTGATTGAAAAAATCATAACTGAATATTGGTTTGGAAAGGTACCCAATAAAGAAATCGTAAAATTACTTATAATAGCAATAAGGTGCTTCTGATATTGTGTGAATGCGCCCTATAATGTATTATGGCAACTATTTCCGGAAACACGATACTATAATATTGTATAAGCATTCGTTATTATAAGAAACTACAATGTATTAATTTATGAAACACTAAGATCTAACGCCCGTAATCGGTTCTATCGTTCTGCAACTTGTGCAGACACACGACCTTGAATGTCCTTCAAGAATTGGCGGAGGAGAGGTTCGATAAATAATACATTTGTATAATATTTTGGGGCTGTATCCATAGTTTACTATGGCGAGACAAAACAGACGGTTGATTAGGTTGGTGTAACCACACAAAGAAAAGGCTAATGATATGATAAACCGGATAAACGGGTGAACGCTGATCGTACCGCACAACTACTACACAAGAGCAACGCATTACTATACCGGTTAGGAGGAAGTCATACACACTTTTTTTAAATATTTTTTTTACACTGTGGGAAAATACACTAGGTATTAATTATTATTATATTATTATCAATTGGGTCATGTACGTCTAATTCGTCAATTGTACAAAAACACAATTTTTTTCTCAGCTGATTATTAAAAGATTTGTGTCTCATTATATTATTTATATCAGTTTCCGTTAAATTCTCAAGAATAATTATTGATGGCCTTGGATATTGCTTACTATAGTGAAATTAAAAAAAATGTATTAATGTTATAGTTAATTACTCCATTTTTTTTTACAAAATATGTTACTAAAACTGTTAAGAGTTTGGAAATTTTGATTTTCCATCATATCTGGGCTAGATTCATTAAAAAGGCAAATACCTAAGTAAAACTTTTAAAGTTTATGCATATTGCGAGTACCAAGTGGCGAGTATATTCACTGCCTAAAAATACGTCATGGAAAAAACAAGTTGAAATAGATAGTTTCTTATTGAACTATTTATAGAATTAAAAAATAATAACATTTTCACTATATTATTATATTTTGAACATTAATAATACTCGTAATTTATTATAATATTAATTAATTTAGGCGGGTAAAGATTCAATAAAAAAAAAAACATTGTGTGTATGTTATTATTCATTATATCCGTGATATAATATTAATATTTAAAATAAATTACCTGAGCGTCCTGAGCTATAAGTATATTTGAATCAATTTAAAAATAATCTTTAGGTCTCCTTCAAGGATATTTAAAAATCTTCAAGATAAATTTGACCTAGACCTGATCATACCATCAACTATCAGCCTTCAGCCACCTTGGTTAATTTCTCTAGACATCAATCTCGATCTCCATCACCTCCCTAAAAA